AGACTAGATATTTTGCAGATTAAACTGGAGACTTTATTTTAAGCCAAAAAGCAGCTATTTTGTTTGGGATGAGTGGGGAAACTGGCGACTGTACGATGTTTAGACCACATCGTAGTCACGCTGATGCAACCCACATTGTGCAAGCAGCGGGCGATTGTGAAGACCCTTCTCTTGATCATGAGTGTCGTTCACCTCAATCAAATGCGGTGACCCAGTTTTCCCCTGTCTCTCTATAGATCTGCGCGTATTGTGTGTGTGTGAACCTGTGCAGTTACGCGACTAATAAAACAGTGTAATAAGAATAATAATAATGTGTCAGCTGTACGCCGTAACGGCGCTTCGCTGCCGTGCGACCACCACCACTCGCGCGCAAGCTGAGTATACCGCGAGGACGCCCGCCCCTACGCGGATTCGAACCGGTGACCTTATGGTTGCAAAGCAAACGTGCAGACAGTTCGGCCACCGGCCGACTGTTGTAACTCCACCAAAACGTGCCTGGCTTTAGTAGCCTACTGTTGTGCGAACCGACCGAAATGAGCGACGAGGACACGCCTCGCCGAAGCCTCGATGTTGCATGCAAACGTTCTTGACGCATTAGCATCATCATTATACAGGTTAGCTAGAGGTGGAAACACCTCAGCCATTGTGAGGCAATACACACGAAGAAAAATAATGAGATGAAACAAGGGCGCGCCAGCGGAGCCACCACTAACGGATGGACATTGTTCCGGAGAGCTACAAGCCGGTTGTTTTGCAGCAAAAGATAGTCATACCTTCGAACTCGCTTTATTGCCCACCCGGTTTATGGCCCACCTCGCTTTATTTCCCAGTTTTTCAAAGTACAGATACTTTTCTCATAAATATGCTAAATTTTCACCGTCTAATCGCTTATTGCCGGGTTTGTCCCAGCGCTTAATTGCTCGGGTGCGTGGGCTGCGCTCTTGTCGCTTTGTCAATTTTACGCCCTCCCTCCGACTTTTATTACGATTACCCTACAGCTAGCCAGTCCGATCGAGTCAAGAACAACAAAGATGGTGGCGTTATTGACAGCTCAGCAATGCTTACCTACATCATTCAATACACGAGCAAGCTAAATGTACAGACGGCTGTGGGCAAGCCCTCGGCCCAATTCAATACTCGAAAACCGAGCAAGTCGGGCAATCTTTCCGCTCCTCATTTGTCAGTATTCTATTGGTTACACACAAGTATGGACAGAAAGCATTTGTCCTTGCCAGAAAGGTTGGACATTTTATCCACCAAAAACCTCGCAGGCCAAGTTGTCCCATGCTTTACATTCTCGTCTTACCCTAGCCAGGTTGAATGCCAGCGAAAAGGAACTCCGGCAGAATTTGTCGCATGACACTACAAGCTCCCGGAATGGGAAGAAATGTGGAACGGATGAAGAAGTTGAAACTGCATTGGAACACTGGATGATATCGCTTCGGGCGCAGAACCAAACAGTTATAGACTCACTTCTGAAGAACAAGGCAGAAGAATTCGGGAAAAGACTTGGAAAAAGCTTTGTTGCCACAGTAGTATGGTTGCAAAGATGTAAAAATAGTATTCAAATTGTGTATAAGCGTGCGCATGGCGAAAAGAGTTCAGCGGACAGAGCAGCCTGTGAAAATTAGCTGAAAGTTAGACTGCCTGAACTTTAAAATGCATTCGATGATGACAACATGTACAATGCAGATGAAACAGGGCTTTTTTACCGAGCAACTCCAGAGGGCTCTTCGTGTTTTCTTCCAACTAGCTCAGCGGATCGAAAAAAGCCATGGATAGGATCGCTCTCTTGTGCTGTGAGAATATGTTAGGCACGGAGAAAAGAAAACTGGTTTTATTAGAAAAATGTAAGAAGCCATGACGTTTTATTGTGAACGTGGACATACTTCGCATAACTTATAGAGCTTACAAAAACGCGTGCATAACGAAAGAACATTTCGCCGAGTACGTCCTCGAATGGGACGAGGAACTAGGTCAAAGTGGCCAAAAAATTATATTGACCTTGTATAACTGCACGGCGCACCCACAGGTAGAAGACCTAAAAAACATGCAATTGACATTTCCGCCGGCAAAGACGACCAGCATTCGTCAACCCATAGACAATGGTGTGATTATGAAACTGAAAATCCGTTACGGAAAGGAAATTGCGAACAGGATGCTTTACCACATCGAAAACAACTTGTTATCTGGTACATCATCGGCGGTGGATGTCAACGCTAACGTTTCTGTACGCAATGCAGTTAAGTTCCTACCAAAAAGTTGGAGACAGTTTACCGGTGCACCAATAAAAGCTTGCTTCGGTATGCTGACTTCAGTCGACTGGCATCCGATGCACATTCTGATGACGCCGTCATCGCTGAGAACGAGATCAGCGCGTGCACAATCCCTGTTCTCGATGCAGAAGAGTTCGCGGCCATTGACAACGATGTGGGATGTACCTCAGATCTGACAACTGTTGAAGATGAAAACAGTAGAATTTTAGAGAACCGACTAGAACAGAAAGAAGGCAGCGACTCAGAGGATGACGTGTCGGGTGCGTTCGTGAGTAACGGCAATCAGCGCGTGTCGCGCTCAACATCAAACAACTGTGTGAATGATCTGTAGTATGGCTACAGACTTTTGCATGGGCTAGACGACGATTTCTTGTCCAAATCGGACTTCGACAGTGTAAAAGTGACTGCAGTAGCAGCTCAAAATGATGTACAACTAACGTTGGATTGTTTTCTCAGCACAAGTGTACAACAACGCCAGTTTCTATAGCTATCCAGGTACGATGCTTTATAGTATAATTTGTTTTATAGATCATGCTTATCTGAATAAACGTCTTTTATAGGCTTTAGTTACAAGTAAGTATTTTATCCTTCTCATCAAGTTACACTTCGTTATATACTGTAAAATAATCCAATGTTTGTTTCCGTTTTGGAAAATGTGGCAAGATCGGTTAATTGTCCACCCCGCTTCATTGCCGACTTTTGAAATATCCCGGTGGTAGGGAATAAAGCGGGTTTGACTGTATTATCCTTCAGCAATACAATCATCCTTGGAGGGGGCGGCTAAGCGGCAAGAAACGTCATTAGTGCCTACCGTTAAGAAGGTACCATTATTCAGAACAACTGTGCAGAAAACAACAGAGAAGCTGACTCCCGATGTCTTACAACAAATAGACGAGACCGTTGGAATGACATTCGGAGGACATTTTGGTGCAGGTATGGCAGCGGCTGCAAGAGTCCGAGTTCCCTCTTTTCCTATCTACTGCATTCAACGCCCTCAAAATGCTAAAGATCACGCTTAAGAAGTGCCAATACCACCTAGACCGCATCAACAGGGCCATGACTATCGAAAACGGATAGGCTTACATTCTGGACTTTTCGGTACACGTACCGCACGATAAAGAGCTGCACCACCATAGCAATGAGCCGGTTCAACCTCCATCTGCGGCGGACGCAAGATCGCTCAAGAAGGGTGGCGCGTGCGAACATATTCTTGCTCTCCTTCAAAGGCGGCGTGGCGGGGCTGATTGCAACATTGAAGAACCAAGGCATCTTTAACTCAAAGATCATCAACAATGGCACCTGTAATGGTGCAAAGTTCTTGATGTTCGTCGAAAAGCTTGTGGCGCGTATATGCTGCCAAATGGAGAGGAACGGTGCATGGACCACGCCAAAGTCCACATGCCGGACGATCTAAGGAGGATCCTAGGTTCGCCCTGTCAGTTGTAGCTTCTGTCACCCTACTCCCTTATGCTCAACCCAGTAGAAATCGTGTTTTTGGAAATGAAAGTGTTATCGAAACGCCTACTGACCAACCCGACGCCAGACGAGTGCTAAGTGCGGTTATTCAAAAGAGCGTTGGAATGGTAACCCAGCAGGACTACACGGAGTTTTCTGGATGACTAACACGGCCATTCAATCTAATCATGTGTGCAGCATGTTAGCACAGTTTCCTGAAATAATTGTATATGTCAATCATCGCGACACATTATGATTCACCGGCGAACGTCTAAATGGGTGCAATCTATGTACCTAGCTCCTCCGGATTTCAGGTAATCCCACCGTTAATCACTTTCATTGCATCCGCTTTTCCATAGACAGTAAATGAAAAAACCCTAAAGTAATTTCCGCATATCTTTTGTCTGACTGGGTACATGACAAATAGCTGGCAACGTTGTCCAAGCTGTTGCACGTACTTGCAGTCAGTGTCGAGTGGCCGCAACAACTATGCTGCATGTTGACGGTCATTTTGACGTACGTGTTGTGTGATTGGGTTTTGAAGCGCAATCTCAATGCAGACTGTGATTCGCATTAAAGTCAATTTTGGTAAATCCTATCAAGTAGAACTGTGGATGATGAAGCAAAAGGAAAGTTGGTGTTGCCCACGCGAAAACATCGCACTTTACGACGCGTTTCGACCTAGTTTGATCTCCTCAGGTGGAGATGGCATGCTTGGAACCCCGGACCGTTGGGATGTTGGTTATCGTCTCTGTTCCTAGGGCACCGCGTTGAGAAGGGGAAACGATTGGCACACCGGTTACTGACTGCTAGGAGGGACATTTTGAAGTACACATTGTGTGGATGGCTTATGGCGCGCAATCTCAATATAGACCGTGATTCGCATTGAAGTGGACGTTGGTAAATTCAAGCAGAAAGAAATTTGCTGTTGAATGTTGTTCGTTTACTTAATGCAACGATGCAAAATCAGGTAAAGTTCATAAAGATTATTCCTGTCGGTACCGTTTTCGACCACGCAAATTGTAAGCTACGCCTTGGTAAATGATTTCTAACAAAGGATCCGTTGAGTTGCAACAAGCATTCTTCTTTGTGTTAGTACTATATATGCCTTGGTAAATGATTTCTAACAAAGGATCCATGGGTTGCAACAAGCATTCTTCTTTGTGTTAGTACTATACTGAGCTAGTGACATTGCAGTTTTCTCCCGGAATAGTCTCACGTCCGCAATTTGATTAAAGCTGTTGTGTTTGGCTCTTCCATTATCTTCAGGGGAAGACGTACACATTCGATATGGTGTTCACACCGACGGCCACTCAGACGGAGGTCTATGAGAAAAGTGCGAAATCCATTGTCGCCTCTGTCCTCAACGGTTACAATGGGACGCTCTTCGCTTATGGTCAAACAGCCTCTGGAAAAACATACACCATGGAGGTACGATATTATGAATAGTAACAATAGACGGATGTGTGTGTGTACACAATGTGTCGCATAAGGTTGGATATGTTCTATCCTTCCAGCTCCACAGAATGGCCGTTTCTGGTGAATGTAGAGTGGCAATTGCTCCCCCGCAGAGGTACTTTCACGAGGGCGTTTGATCCCACGTGGTGAACGGTTTGTTCCTATCTGAAAGAGAGATTTTTCCGTAGTTGTTTGCGGTCGCTGCGTATTCTGATGTCTTGTACCGCGACATTTATCACATATAACTTGAAAAAACCGATGTCGGATGTCGAGCGATTTTCGAAAACACGTCAACGGATAAGCCAATGCACGAAATATGGAACAAAACATCACAGCTGTAGCATCGAAGTGCATGTGCCTTATTTCCCACAACTTTCGAACACGAACCACAAGTAGCTTGAGACGGCATCACAAGCTAGAGCAAATCTAAGATGGCGGACAGAGATGGTAGTATGGCAAATCAGTGAGATCTCCGGAATTAGCCAAAGAATAGCTCCCAAATTTGCACCGCTCGGAAAATACGCCAAAGAAGAATAATGGTGCACAATTCACACAGATAAAACGCTGCAAACACAGTAATCTGAGGTAAAAGTAGTATCCAGCACACGTTGTTTACTTGCTCTGGTCTGGGATGGGACTCAATTGAGAACACCTGAAACATGTAAACTTCAGCGTTCGTTCAACCCTCTTATACGATTGCGAAACCTGGCCCATCAGCTCGTCAAACATAAAGGGGCCAGCCACGTTCCACTATTACTGCCTTCGCAGCTTAGCTCATCTCTGACGGGAGCACCGCGTGAGCAATGAGCGTGTTCGGTGTCGCCTATTTGGTGCAGGAAGAGCTAATGACAAGCTCAGCACTAGCATATCACGCAACAGGCTCCGATGGCTGAGCTACATGTTGCGCATGTCAGCACACCGACTCCCGCGATGTGTGTTATTTGCCCGCCGGGGGTGCGGTTGGAAGAGGAAGGCAGGCCAAGCGATGACTTGGTCGAGAGAAATGAAAACCCCCACTTCGAAGCTGACTTCGGTTGGTGCATCCCGACTACCTGGCGGGGTCTGAAGGACGATGAACACGTTTGGTTGGACACAATTGCTGCTATAGCGAAGCGCCGGCCCCAATGGCGTTTGCGTTGTGAGTTTCTTTGTCCACCCCACCCTTTTAGATTCCCCCTCCAATTATGATCTCGTTCAGTATCCATAGTATATTATCTAACACTATATTACTTGCTTTTTTCATTCTTTGTGGTCGAATTCTTTAGTATCTTACCTTGTTGTATTGCGGCACGGTAGCTGAGGCGTGTTTCTCACCTCTGCTACCGTGTACTGACGATGACGGCGTTCGGTTGGAAAACTTGTTTAGTGATAGAAATATGGTGCGTTTTTCTTCATACAGCAACCACAACCAATTCCTCCTCCGTAGTGTCATTCGGGGCTGTCTTGCCGAACAACCTCCCCTGTGGTGACGGTTGGTTGGTTATTTTTTACACCGTTCCAAAGACTGGTTTGGCGACAGTGACCCAGTACGTAGTGGGTTTTCGCGTGGTAAAGGTTCTCCCCATAAAAAGCCACATACCTCTGTTTAACCACAATGCGACACGGTGGAGGAGGAGATAAAATCATCGCCTCTTGCTTCAACCCGGTGGTGCATTGTATTCTAGCAGCTGAATGCCATCTTCGTGGGAAAACTGGTAAGTTACTTAACAAAAGACGAATGAACCGAGAGATCGGTCACCACCTACCAAAGTGCGCGATCCCCTACATTCGCCCCGCTGCATTTCGGGTAGGCTGTTGAGCAGAATGCTCGGAGGGTCCCCTAAGTCGACTCCATACTTCGACTTGGGCAACCAGGTAGTATCGCAGCCACTGCAAAAACCCTGGGTTTCACTGTTGCTTCATCGTACCTTCTCGTTCCCGCCTCCATCGTCTCCTACCCAACTCCATAACACGCCAACCATTACTCTGTGATTAATTCTTGTTGCCCTCCATCTAACTCAGACGCCGGTTTCGCCACTGCCAAGAACCTCTGGCCTGAACTTATCCTTTGACTCCCAATCCTCGTTTGGGCCGGCAACCTTTAATGTTCGAAACTTATGCGAATTGGGCACCATGCAGTTTTGGCACGTATTCTGATTTTCCTCGCTTTTGATGTCTGCTGCCCTACTGAAACACGGTCGCAATACCTAAGTACTGTGCGAAAATTGACATTCCCGACCAACCAGGAAGCCACATACACGCAGCGTTTACCTGAAGACGCGGAATCAGCTGCAGTTTGTTTGGCGATTTGGCCTGGCATGAAACAGTAAAGCCGAGACCGCACTCTTGGGCTGGTTTCCGATTAACAGTCTGCTATTGTAGAGGCGCGGAGGACTTCGACAACACGGAACAGCAGAAAACGACCAGAGCAAGAAAGAGTATTCGACAGAGGCACCGGAATCAGTCAGCATAACGCAGGCGCTACCGGACGAAAGGAAAAGGGACCGCGGGCGACGACGGGAGAAAGTCTGCTCCCGGAAGATCTCAAACAATATTGGAGGAGAGGCTAAGAATTCAGACAAAGACGCCGATTGTTGTGCCCCAAGGAATGACTCCAAGCCGAGTGACGCCTGGGAGATCAAGCAAGTCGAGAGCTTTCGAACAAATCCAGGCTGGTCGGAAAGCGACGTACAGGAGCGGAGATACGAAGCAAAACAGGCGAAGCTGAGTTGCCGAAGTGTCGCCAATTGGCGGGCGAAGGTGCCCGTCGACCGCATCGCATTTCTGGTGCGTTGTGGTGTAGAAATGTGACTATATGTGTGTGGGCGTGAGCGCGTGTGGACGGATCGTGACGTGCAACACAGATCGTGCTTTATTGCCCCGCCGTTCTTGCTACACTATGTACAGTTCAGTCCCAAGTCTCACGCAAGCTTAACATGCATCGTGCTAGCAGGTGCGACTCGTTTGTGGTCTCCGCTTATGTGTCGACCGATTGCAGCTGTGAATCAATCAAGGACGATTTCTATCACCAAATCCATCACCAGTTAAGTAAAGTCGCCAAATTGGACGTCGTTGTTCTCTCAGGAGACTTCAACGCACGAGTTGTTCGCCTGCTACCAGGTGAATTTATTTTACTTGATGTTCATCACGCACTGAATGAAATTTGTTCAGATAATGGAACTAGGCTTCGCACTTTCTGTGAAGAAAACAGTTTATTTTTGCAAGCACAAACTTCAGGTAATTCAGAAGACGCTCTGCAACCCAGCGTTCTCCTTCTCCGATGCAGCCTTGGTCTCAAATAGACCACATTGCTATCAGTTTCAAATGGCGGAGGAGCATACAAGATTATAACACATTTTCCACTACTTATCTTGTCTTAAATCACGCGCTGGTTTGTGCGAATATCTGCATGCTATTCGGAGGGCCTCCGAAACGAAACGGAAACGATACTAACAGGCTAACCGAGTAGTCGGCTCAGCTGAAACATCAACTGTCAATGACAACCACATTAGACTGTGTTCCGCCTACTGACAGTGAATACCACTGTGACGCTAAATTCAAGCCAATCAGTCTGTGCGTCAACATATCGTCCATCGAAGGGTTTTATCTATGCACGCTCCCTGGGATTGTTCGACAGCCGTCGAAATCCCCCACTAAACACGGGCCACAATGAACTTCGCCTCGTTATCACACCACAACTCATCCGAATCCTTCACGACGATCGGGAAGCATAGTGCTCTCAACTTGCCTTGGAGATGGAAGCCACAACCCTCAAGGTAAATACTTGTAGGCTGCTCCAACTCATTCGGACCACTAGACACAGAAGGTCTGGTACCAACTCAGTCATTTATGTGGCCGTTGGGATACAAATCACTAACTTGCAGCGACACGTGAACAGATGGGCTGAGCATTTTCAATCGCAATTCTCTTGTACCTCGCCGTCTACATTTGCACCCAGCACACGCGGTTGCATGTCATGGGCAATGTCATTAGGACCGCCCAATAAAGTGGAGGTTTCTTTTGAGATCCGACACCTGAAGCGCTTTAAGACTGCGGGCTCAGATAAACACCCAAGAATTGTTCAAGTATGATGGCACGGCAGTTGTCAATTAGCTGACATCTCTACTCCTGAAGATCTAGCAAGAAGAAAGGGTACTCTCTTCATGGAGGAGTTAGTAATTGTCCCAAAATGCTGGAAGGGTTCCCGTACTTCTTGTGCCGATCACAGCGGGAGCAGTCTGATACGTATTGCCCCCGAGATACTAGCATTCATTATGCTTAGCAGGCTTGCCTCAACGCGTGATACACTACCAGGAGGTGCAGGCTGATTTTCGCCTCGGTCGGGGATATGTGGATCAAATATTCACACTTCATCAGCTCCTTGAATATTGTCATCTCTACCTCAGACCCACCATTGTCGATTTCCTCGATAATCGGGCTGCATTCAACTCAGTATACTGACCTGCTTTATGTTGATGCCTGCTAAAGAATGGAGTTCCCGAAAAGTACGTCTTTATACGTCGGGCGCAATTTCTCCATACTTCAAGTAGGGCGAGAGACTACGGCAAACCTTCTGCACTTCTCCATGTCACCAGTGGTGTGCGACTAGGATGCCCTATACCTCCGTTTCACTTTGACTTTGCAACCGAAGATGTCCTGTTGAGAGCTCTATAAGGTCTGCAGCGTTTTTGCATTGATCTCTTTCTAACTGATCGCGTAACCAAATTAGGCCACGCTGATGATGTCGTCTTCTTGGTGGTCCTTGACCGCCTGGCGTCTGAAGAGTCTAGTTATGGCATGTACTTTGCCCCCTTTAAATGTAAAGTGCTGTTATAGAATTGGCAATCGACTTCTCCTCAACTCACCAACGATAACATTCAGCTCGAACACGTCGGTGGTTTAGTCAATCTAGGGAGCTTATTTCTGTTGATGGTACTATGGGAGAGGAGGTGTCTCTTCGTATCACGAAAGCACGGTCGGGTTTTGCCAACCTG